CTGTTAAAACAATGCGCGTCTGAGGCCTCTTTCTAGGTGAAAAACCGGCATCGATGTTTTCATTCCAGCAAATTAAATTGCGTTCATCTCCTTGATTATTACCTGCATGCTCAGCCGCTATAGCCCACAGGGATCACTTCTTCCGTCTGCACCAGAGCGGCACGTCTGATTGCAGCAGACGTCTCTTTGTCTCTGCTCGTAACTAATGCAAGTGTTTCCTCAATGACGCGAAGTTACTGTTTGCTGATAGAATGAAACAACGTATAGCATCTCGAAAATTCGGTTCTATAGATTATTGGCGGATCTGCAAGAGTGTGCTGATCAACAGTAAATCCTCAATTCCTCCTCTATTCAATCAATTTGAAGTCCTGAAATCTACACCTTGAATGCAACTCTCGACTTATTTGGAGTACACACACCTGATTTCCCTCTTAGAACAGAGGCTCTATTTAGTGATATGCGCATAACACCGTCAGTGGACTTGGACATAATTTCTAAATAAGGCAAGCGGAGGTGACGGGATCCAACCCGTTGTCCTAAAGAAATGTGCTCCCGTACTGGCTCCAGTTCTTTCCAAACTCTACAACTTTTACCTCGCTACTTCCTGCTTCCTGGTTGGAAGCCTTCTTCTGTAGGAGATTAATAGGGCGATAGATTGGTCAGAAGATTCTCCAGAATCTTCTGACCAATCTATCGCCCTGTTAGTCTCCTACAGCTTTTCGGCAAAGTATTCGAAGCTTTAATCAAAGCTGATGTGGTTAAGCATCTTACCTCTGACGACCTACTCTCCGACAAAGAATGGTTTCCGTTTAGCCAAGTCTACCGCCAATGCCAATGGCCATCACTGAACTCTTGATAAGAACGGCAAAGCTCGAGCTGTAGCTCTAGATTATCTCAAAAGCGTTTGACAGGGTTTGGTATGCTGGCCTTCTACGTTAGTTTCAGGGCTATGGTATTACAGGACGATTGTTTGATTTAATCCAATCATTCCTATCAAATCGTGAAAGGAAGTTCATTCTGAACGTGCTTGCTTCCAGATCCTTTCATACAAACGCGGGTGTCTCCAAAGGCTATATCCTGAGTCCTATACTGTTTTTGATATTCACCAATCTTCCTGGTGTCATCAATTCCCAAGAAGACATTTATCACTAACATTTACTCTTGTCTCAATAGCAAATCCGTCAGAGCTGATAAATTAACCTGGCTGCAGTTCTTGAAAATGGCCTCTAATCAGTGGTTAACTGGGGCAGGAAATGGTTTGTAAATTTTAATGCCTTCAAAACGAAACTGATCTCATTTAATCATCATAGAGAAGCTACCCTGTCCGCCACCAGCATGGCTGATGTTCGACTCCAGGAGAGCATCTCCCTGCGCCTTCTTGGCATCATTTTTTCAACTGACTGTGTTCCAGGGGGGTGAAATGATTAAAAATATATCAATATGAAACTTGAAGTATATCAATATGAAAATTGAATTATATCAATATATTACCGTTAAAACTTCAGTGGACCTGAAAAATTGAATAAATGTAAAACAATTAATTTCAGACATCTGAAACAAGAGTCTACCAAATAGAATATAAACTAGGTATCTTCAAAAAAAAAAAAAAAAAAAACCTTCTTGATGCTTTTATTTTAGTTTTAATTTCAAGCTATTTCAAGATAATAATTTCAGTAAGCACTCTGCTGTATTTCAAACCGTGATGCTGTTGTCTGGATGGATCCTGATTCATACCAATAAATTTCAGTTTTGCTTTTAGGAACTTCTCTGGATGAACTGTTCCCAGTGCTCCGCTAACGACTAGTACGACAGCCACCCTAGTTTCCTCAGTTCAGGATATGAGAGAGGCGTTGCAGTAAATTTTTTGGCATTAATTTGATTGGAATTATTTTTTCTGATTATCAGTGAAATCTATAAAATCGTCCATATTCACAAATCTGTCAACATAAAATAATTGACTTTATTAAAAAATCTTTCAAAAATAAAATATACTTTTCTGAAACGTTACTTAAAAAAATTAGCTGAGAAAGTTTGATCTGAATTGAAACAAATATTATTTACATTTAATTGAAAATATCGCAGAAAATCCTTTTTTTATCACAGAGGTGGATGTTATTATCGACAGACTGATGTTTGGGAGATTAAAGTATGGAAGAGATAATGAAAATAAAACGACATGACGAATACAACGTGAATACATTTTTATAAAATTATATAACTTTTTTAACTACCCAGTAATCTTAAAAAATAAATATTTTAAGCATTGTAATATTTCATTGAATTTTAGTTACTTCAGCTTTATAGTCTTACAAAGACACTTGCTGAGGAAATGTTAGAAATTTACTTTGGTTACCACTCTTATTTTCTAATATCGTGTATGCACGCCTATATTTACAAAAATCGGCATGTTTATACACGCACACACAACACGCACACACAACACACACACACACACACACACACACACACACACACACACAGACATATCAATTCAAAACTTTTTTGAAATACTGCAGTCGTGTTTGCATTTATGATTAATAAATTCAGTTTTTTTATTTAATGACAATATCACTTTACCGCTACAAATTAATACAGAATTTTAAATGATTTATAAATTATTCTAATTAAAATAAAAAAAAAAATGAAAACAATTTTAGTAAAAATTCATTATTCATCGGAAATTTCTTTTTTCTTAAGACAACAATGTCCATAACATATTTTATTCATAAATTAAATATTGTCTTTGTTTTAAATCAATTTTTTATTTTACGCTTCAAAACAGATTTTCTGTAGCTGGTGTCCTGTTTGATAAAAAAAGAATGATTTAAATTCTTCGGGGACTTGTTCTTATAACAAATATAATTTTTGTCTGAATTTCTGGGATAAAGAGCTATCATTATTTACACTATTTATATCTGGACTATTGTCCTCATCTTTGTTGTTTTTATCAAAACGTTTCGCTCGTTCTTCCCCCCGGCCTTCCTCAGGTGTAAATCTATCTAGGTAACCTACAGGGAATTCCGAACCGAGTAATCTACGAGTGCCGACTGTTCCACTGCACATGTCTAGATATATCGTCCAATTCTCATGTTATTTAGTACTGTTTTCTCACCTGTTGCTACTGAGAACAAGCACAAATTTTCAGACTGTACTTACAATCACTATGTCACCAAATTAAGAAAACAACGTAAAGCCAATGGTCTTGTAGTCACTCTCAGAACATATTGAAGTCAAAGAGGAATCAAGAAGTAAACTATATAACGAGTTTTTGTAAATGGATAGAAGATTAGGGATACCAAAAATACAAATATTGCTATGAGCTTAGAAATGAGAATAAGTTGTTGGATCATAATTTCCTACGTCCTGAACGGACAGGGCACAGAGAAAAAGATCAAAATATTCTAGAGGATTTTGTCTAACATTCATAGTTTTAAATTCGGCTTTAGTTCAGTTAAAATGGTTGTACATGAAAGAGAGCGTATATACTGATAAATTTGTTTAATTTTGTATTTGAGGAGATTTGTTTTTATATATATATATATATATATATATATATATATATATATATATATATATAATTATTTATTTAAAATATGATTCCATCGCTACATAAGAGTTCTCATGTTTCAAAACAAAGAGCCGAAAATTTCAATATAATTATTTGAATTAAATTGAATTAAAGTACCAAGCTCTGTTCTATCTTCAAGCAAAAAAAAAAAAAAATCGCTTGAAGATGGAACAGACGTTGGTACTTTAATTCAATTTAATTCAAATAATTATATTGACGTTTTCGACTCTTGTTTTGAAACATTAGAACTCTTATGTAACGATGGAATCATATTTTTAAATAAATAATTATATTTAAACTCTACTTTTGTATCGAGCACTGTTTTTTTTAAAATAATAACAAAAATACTAAAGAATTTTGGATTATTTACCTAACGAGTTCTTTCCTATTTTCTATATATTTTTTCACGCACGCACGCACGCACGCACACAAAAATAACAAATATATATATATATATATATATATATATATATATATATCTTGAAACAAGAAGATGAAGATAGTCAATTAGCGCCTGGTGTCGCTACGTCTGTAGCTGGCATTTTGTGAGTAGCGATCATCCGGATTTCTTTGAAGTTGTCGCAGTACAAAGTGATATTTTTATGGCTGGCTTTTTTTGATAACTTTTTTTTTAGTGATTTCTTTTTTTTTTTTTACTGCTGACTTTTTCGACTTGCCGTTTGTTTTTTATTTGACTTTGGATTAACTACCGGCTTCCCACGCTTAGTGTGTTTGAAATCTAAATAGAGCCATTTGTTTAACAATATCTTACATCTCAAAATATGCTATTTGAATGAACATCTGATACGTCCTCCACCTACGTCTGCTAAAATCAAAATGGTTCAAGTGAAAACAATTTTGTTTTTCTTCTAGAAACTAGACACGAGAGGAATGTCCATTTTTTTTTCTAGATTTCTTGGATTGGTTGCTTGTTGTTTGCAATGTCTTCTGCCATTGGCCAGTTGTTTTGTGGAGATGGACGTGTGCATGAGATTACTTAAACAGACTGTTACATTTATAAACATTTTGGGGAAATAATTTTGTAAGTTAGTATTCTTTCAATGTTACTTAGGCCGCGACACTTGTCAGAATCTAAAAATATTAATTTGTTATCAATTTAGATTATTTTCATAAAATCAATACTGTGTCAAATAGATCGATGAGATGTATGAATATTTTCCATTTTGATAAGTCTCGCAGTCTAAGGAATTTGGAAACAATGATAATATACAAAAAATATTTCTTAATTTTTTTCCATATTCTTATGAGAGGACTAGTCTATTTAAATAGTTCATTGCAATAGTCTATGAGTCATTTACGATTAATATACGACCTGGGTATTTAAATTTAACTCCCTTTCTTATTAGGTTAGTACTGAAACAATGAAATAGTTTCATAAAACCATGAAAAAATGAGCTGAACTACTTAAAAGAAGTTATTTTTATTTATTTATTTTCTTTCTTTTTTCTGTCTTTCTTTCTTTCTTTCTTTCTTTCTTTCTCAGTCTGTTCATATCTATCTATCTATCTATCTATCTATCTATCTATCTATCTATCTATCTATCAGTCTGTTCATACAGTGAATTTGCGTTCTGGTTTTTGCAACATTTCACCATTCCTGGTAGATGTGTCACTTATCGTAATGTGGGATACCTACTTAAAAAAAAAAAAAAAAAAAATGAAAAGGAAACTCCAAAAATCCCCAGCACACTTTGTTAGTGTGCATGTGTAGTCGTACTAATATAACAAATTCAATCCGATAAAGCCTTCAAGGACGAAACGCGTCACAAGTAAAATTTTATATCTGTTTCATGCTGTAACGCAATTTTCAGGCCAGATTGAAAGATTGCGATGAAACAAATTGTCACCTAATATATATATATATATATATATATATGTATGCTCTATTTATAATAAACAGTATTAACAACATTTACCGGCCTGAATGTCCGAGAAGTTTTCATAGAAAATATGCGTCCTCCGACAGGAATCGAACTTGTATCCTATACATAACCGTCATATAGCCTGACGTGCCTTTACCAATTTCGCCACAGAGGAGCGTTTCGGTTAGCTAGGTCGATTTTACAACAATTCTCCATGATTTTCTCTCGTACATTCATATCTGCTCGATGTATATCCAAATGTTATCTGTTTACATTGTTAATACTGTTTATTATAAACAGAGCATTTACTTAAATTAAATATTTGTATCTATAAAAAGAACGTATAAATATAAAAAATGTCTTAATAATATACATACATATATATATATATATATATATATATATATATATATATATATATATATATATAGTGATTATAATAGATATCAAATTCCTATATACAAATATACCAACCACTAATTGCTTAAGATGTTTACAAAGACATTTAAAAAGTAATAAAATCAACTTCCCACTTCCAGCAGACAAAATTATAAGAATATGTCGCTTCATTACAAACCAATGTTTTATTTCACATTCAGTGGGAAGTTTTATAGCCAGAAATTTGGCCTTACTGTTGGGCTCAACGATTAGCTATATACTGGCATGCCTCTTACTAGAAATTTATAATCCGGACCCTTTGAGCATATTTTCCCGCAAGATGAAACATATTTCTGATAAATTAACGATGCCCTATTAATATACACACGCATGACACACCACTATTAGAACTTGTTCAAAGATTAAACAAAGTTGAACATACATTCACTTTTAACTACGAAACAGAAAAAAAACACGCATTATCTTGATCTTATGTTAATATGCACACATAAGGATATACAACTAAAGGTCTACCGAAAACCCCCAAATAATAACAATATTTTATTTCCATCAAAACAATAAAATAAAATCTGGAGTAATCATAGGCTTTTATCTAAAAGCCATTAAAACGTGTAGATCCAATTTCCTGCCTGTATAGGCGTAATACATTGAAAACATCTTCAAACTCCTCCAATATCAGAATTATATTTTGCACGGTTCAAAACAAAAAGCATTCAAGATTCACAGAAAAAAATATAAAAATCAACAAATAATATTAACCCCAAGAGCCGAAACAAAAGTATCTACCAAGTCCATAACAGCCAACATCGAAAATAACTTATCCAACATTAACCATAAATTTCATCAAAATTGACTGTACAAAATGTCCAATGATGTACGTCAGTAAAACACTCAGAAATCTCAAAAAGAGATTATATGAGCATCAAGGAGATATACTGCATACCAAAAAATTTAAACGCCCTGGTAGTTCACCGTAATACATCTAATCACAATTTTTATTTACCAAATATCAGTCTGTTGAGGGTTAAAAAAAAGAAAGGATTCCCTTTGAGATTCTCAATTCTCGACAAAAACAATGAACTATAAGATCAGGGCCATACATAATAATGTGTGTGTATGTAGGGGGATATTTAATAACAAAAATGAAACTAAAAGAAAAAGAATTTAAATGAGACTGGCTAGATTATATATCCAAAACACATTAACAAAAAAAAAAAAAAAATTATTCTAAGTTTTAAAATCTCAGCATCTCCCGTTAATGAACATGTGTAGTCGCATCAACATAAACAAACCTAGTCCAATGAAGTCATAAGGAGCGAAACTTTTTCCACTTTGTCATACATCTTTCCTCGGAAACTGTTCTTGATATATAAACAGGCATATATCGTTATGCCCCACCTATATATATATATATATATATATATATATATATATATATATATATATATATATAAGTAAATATTGAAGAAGTCAACACTTCGACAGGCTGTTTCATGCTAGAGAGAGAGAGAGAGAGAGAGAGAGAGAGAGAGAGAGAGAGAGAAATACTTTCTGGTTGTCGGATCAGCTAACGGTAGGGAGACATAAACTAAAGCATAAGTGGATGCAAATGGTTACATAAATTATACAAACTAGCCAATGCCGTTTCCTAAGAAATAAAAATGGGGTGGAGAGGTAATTTAACAAAATGCTAAGCAAGTTATATGCTTTGTGAATTTCCTACATACATGTGAATTCGTTGGGTTAATAAATTCTTTCTAAGCAAGGCGACAATACCACTAAGAGAAAGCGAACTACTGGGAGTGAAAGAGAACGAGAAGACTTTGCAAGAAACCGGAAACTCAATCCTAAGCAGGAAACAAGGGATAGACCTTCTACTCCTGTTCAAAAGATCGGGGAGGTGTGTGAACCGGATGATAGGAGAACCTAATTTTTTGTATGACATAAGAGTATATAAAATCTCTTGAAGAACAATGTATATATGTTATTCATTTCTTTAAGATATTCTAGTACTCTCATTCGTTGTATTAAGGTGTTAGTATATCTTGGTATAGTAATGCCTATAATGGGCCAACTGGAAATATTATCTCTTTCTAAGCACCTCTATTACTGACTTTCATTTGTAATTAACATCACATTTAAAAACACAGCACGAAACTTAAAGCGGAACATCTTCAAGATAACTAAAGTTTCAGAAAAAGCGAAATGAATACGCGTATTACCGAATATGGAATTACAGAAATTTTGGATAATTATTTAAAATGAATTTTACAAATAGATTTTTCTGTTGGCATTTAGTATTAACATCTGAAATTCATATTTGTAGTAGTATACTGAAATAATCTATGAGTAAATGTTGTGGTAGGATCCACCTAATTTTCATAGTGGAGTACCGACCATATAAATATGGTTGGTACCGGGAAGAGAGGGAGGAATCAAGAGATTCAACCAGAGACTCTGCCCGACTGCGACTCAGTCAACACATTCTCCAGGAGCGGTTTTACCAGGAATATACAAAAGACTATATGTAAATATTGTGTACACTTTCTTGTTTCAATACATTTTGTTCTAAGTATATTTTGTGTTGCATTATTATTCCATGCATTAGTCAAGTTTCAACACTAAAAAATCTAGCTTCAAAAATCCATAATCATACAAACATTAAAAACGACATAACAACATCCCATAATTAATCTACCAGAAAAATAAATTGATCCAAGATCTGTTCATTTTTGATCATGGGATCTGCAGTTTAGGACGGGTATTTATGACCCATTCCTAGTCATTGATCAGTGCTTTTGAACCAATCTTTTCAGTTTTAAACGATGTAAAATTGTAGAGAAGAAAATCAAACAAAACACAATTTAAATATTTTGGATGTATTTTAACAGAATATGGAAAGTGCAACACTGAAATCAGATGGGTTATTGGGGTAGCAAAAGATGTCTTCCAAAAGCTAATCAAAGTATTAAGAAAACTTTTTTTAAGCAATTCACCCAAGCAAAGCAGGAGTGCCACTAGCACGCAAGGTGTTACAGAGGATTGAGAACAAAAGTAAAGAGGTGTGTTTGAGGAAAGGATACAGAGAAGGATGGAGAACAAGATCAAGGTATCAGATTGACATTACACTTGAATATTTGAAGATTATAATTATCAGGAAAGCAAACAAGAGGAAGGGAGTTCCACAGATGGGAAGGGAAGTGCGAGAGAAGCTGTTTGAGTAGAAGAAACGGTTACATTTAAACGTTTCGACAGTGAAAGTGTGGGACCAAGATGCCAGTCTAGTAGCTCGCTTAAAGTCATCCAGTCTTGGAGCAAGCGAAAGTAGCTCGTCGGAACATTTGCCGTGAAAATACTTGTAGAAGAGTCAGGGGGAAGCCATGGCACGTCTGTGAGAAAGTGACTGTAGACGGGATGGCAGATCGCATTGCATATTTGTCTCTGGATTTCGTCGAGGACCTCGAGGCGTACAGCGAGGGCACCAGACCATATATGACATCAATATTTCATTCAAGGATGGATGGTTGATTTATAGATTTGAAGGATGGACTCAGATGAGAAAAACTTTCTGGTACGACACAGAGAACCAACTTTTTTTGCTGCAGATGAAGCTGTTGATTCAATGTATTGTTCCAACTCATGTCAGCGAACAGCGTGAGACCGAGCAGGGGTAACGAGGATTCTCTGGGGTGGGTAGAGCAGATTTGTTTTGGAAGCATTAAAGTTTACAAGCCATTTCCTTCCCCAGTTAAACATAGATTAGGGGTCCTTTTTGAGATCAGCGGCAAGGTTAATTTTGTCAACGATACCAGATTTACTATTGAGGCAGGAGTAAATAGTAGTGTCGTCCGCGTAGATGCTTACTTGGAAATTGATGACACTAGGAAGGTCATTAAGGAAGATCAGGGACAGTGTTGAGCCCAAGGTAGAGCTTTAGGGAACACCGGCGTTTGTGAGAAAGGAGCCGGAAGAGAACCCGTTTAGGACGATCTTCATTTCACGGTTTGACAGGAATGATTGTATTGTCAAATAATCGTCCTGTAATACGATATCCCTGAAGAAAACCAGCATGCCAAACCCTATCAAACATTTTAGAAGTATCTAGAGCCACGGTTTGAGCTTCTTCGTTATCGTTAAATCCATGGTATACAAATTCAGTTATGGCCGTGAGCACGTCAGCGGTAGATCGGGCAAAGCGGAAACCATATTGCTTGTCGGAGAGCAGATTATGTGAAGTAAGGTGCTTAACCACTTCAGTGTTGATTAAAGCCTCGAATACTTTACCAAAGAGTGGTAGGAGG